TCTTGTGGTCTAGAGTTCAAGGTATGCTCCTTCCATTTAATAGGTACCGGGTTTGAAACCTGACAGGGACAAGTATTTTCTTCTCTAACCTTTTTTCTTTTTACACCTCCTTTCGTTCTCTAACGATTGGCTGCTTTCGTCTCGTCAACAAAAAAAAAAGAAAGAAAAAGAACATTTTTAAAAAGAGAAAAAAAAGCAAAAACAAAATAACACTGCCAAAAACAAAACAAAATAAACACCCCTTTAACAAAACACACAAACAACTTACAACACAGACAAACAAACAAACAAACAAGCAAACAAACTCACCGGCGGGCAGGAAGGAAGGGGCGGCGGCTGGCTGTGGGGACTGCCCGGGTGGTGCACGGGGTGGTGAGGGAGGTAGTGTGCTGGCCCGTAGCCCGGGTAGCCGTAGTGCAGAGACTGTGAGCCGCCCGAGTACACACTCTTGGACGGACTGCGGCACATGCCCTGGGAACACGGAGAGAAAAAAATATGCTGTAATTGAAATGTTACCAATCTTCCCCATATTCCTATTTGGCGCTGAGGCTTGGACTTAGATAAAGAAAGAAATAAAAGAAATAACTGCGATTGAGTTTAGTTGGATTTTTAAAATAGTTTTTTTTTTTTTGTTGTAAAAGTTTTACGGCACTTGCAACACAATAAGGTCAAATAAGTGCCGAAGAATAGATGAGTTACAAGAGAGCAACATACGCAAAAAGAAGGAGAGAAGATAAAGACGATAAACGTTTGATAGGAAAGAAGAAGCAAACCAGACTAGAGCACCCGTCAACTATCCACAATTTTTTCTTAGGGGAGGGGGTGTTCGTGAGAGTTTTACGGCCCTTGCAACACTATAAGGTAATATAAGTGCCGACGATTAGAGGTGTTACAAGAGAGTTACATACACAAAAAGAAGGAGGGGAGATAAAGGCGATAGATGTTTGATAGGAAAGAAGGAGCAAACCACACCAGAGCACCCACCAACCACCCATAACTAGAACTATGTGTTTGTCGGTAAACATCAAATTGTGTACAACATGTGCCGGTTCCCTCTACTCCAAACACCGACTTTGC